GCACAACAAGTGGGTCATTGTGTGTCAGCAAATGCAGATCACAGCACTTGTTCTAGGTGAGTCTGACAATTGATGCATCATTCAGGAGGATGTTTGCTTGTTGTCAGTGGTCAGCACTCATCTTTTGATGCGAAATGGAGCGTATAATTAGATTCAGATGACTTGTGCCCCCGCCGCACTGTAATTGTCTGAATAGTTATGTTGAATAAAATAACAATAATAAATGAGCTAAAACAAACATTTCATTTTGATTAAAAAAACGTAAAATGTTTAAATAAATATTGCATATTAATAAAATAGATACAGATAGATTAATAAAAATAGATCAATAAAATATATATATATTTTTTAGATACATTTTGAGTAAGAGCCATGTTTATTGTTTGAAAAGGAGGCTCATACACTAATATGCAAATCTAATGTGCCCTATTTTATAGCAGATTATTTGTAATAATGTTTATTGGTATTAAAAATATTTCATATCATTCATTTGTAAAGTATTTTACAAGTGTCTCTGCACAGACATTTTGCCATTTATAATAATAAAAAAATCTTATTAAAGAATTACTGAAATAAACAGAATAACATGTATAACAGTTTCATTATAGAAAGTTCCATTATATGACTGAATTAGTTATACAAATAAGCACTCTAACTTATATATTGATGTGATATTATTATTATAGGAAACAAAAATTTGCAACATACCATTTTGTTAAATTTCTTTCATTTTCTACACTGTAAAAATAATGCTTTTTAATGTTGTAAATAATGATTACTGGAGTATGTTTTACAAGAAAAGCACTTTCTGTTTCAATCTTTCTACTTCAAAATTTCACATTTAATTCAATGTGTTACTTGCAGTGTGTTTTCTTTCCTTCTAATTGGTTGTAAAATCTGCTTGCAATTCTGAGTGAAAACAGTTTTTTACGCCAATGTTTTGTTTGTTTTTTGAAGGGACCCCCAGTCATGATGGGTAATCAGAAGGTCTTGATCATTTGGGTGTGGATGTTACTGTGGGTGTCGTTGTATCCTTGGGCCCACTGCAGGCGTGGAGGAGGTTTTGGTGGCAGGGGCAAGGGAGTGGGTCTGCCAGTCAAAGCGCCACCTTCCCAGAGCAAAGGCAGGCAGGGCCTGAAGCTGGCAGGTGCTGCAGCCGCGGGGGCTCTCGGTGGAGCGGCCATCGGCTATGGGCTGGGCTCTCTGGGCAGACCGAGATATGGCTACGATGGCTCCTCAGAGGCGGACAGGCGCTATTACCCGGATGGACCAGGATACTACAACCGCTCGGACTGGCGGTATTACAGGAACGCAGGCAGCACAGAGCACGTGACCAACGTCCTCATAATACTCGGAACAGTCGCACACATCTTTATGTGGGGATGAGTTACAGGGTTTGAGGCATTTCTTGTCACAGAGAGACAAGATGCAGAAAGGGTTCATTTTAAACAGAGGATGCAATCATTTTCATTGATAGAGTGTTTGATAAAGAGGAAACTAACTTACACCAGCAATATACTTCGAGAAATATGAAATTTGAGAAAGTTATGACATTAGACCACACACACACACACACACTACAAAAGTAAAACTTAAAAGTAATTATATTCAGCTTTGGCATCAGGAATACATTTTTTAATATACATTTTAAATGTAATAATATTTTAAAATATCTAAAAAAATAAAATAAATTTAAAAATCTTAATTAATCCAAATTTTTGACCAGTAGACAATGGCTATATAATAATGATGTATGTAATTTTTGCAATTTACCCATATATTATGCCAGGCTCAAGGTAAGGTAAATTGCTAGATTGATTTGATTATCAATTTTACTATTAAACATATATTCAAATGTTTTAGCCAAATGTAATGAATGTTAAATTATATTTAATTTATGCTGTGTTGCTAATGCCTGACAGTTCTGCAATTATATGTCACTTTGGATTTTAATTTAGGATTTTATTAATTTTGGTCAAACAGTCAAATATTATTTAATACAACTGAAACAGCTTTAATTTAAGGGCTAGTATTTGCATTCTCTGAAAATATTTGATGCAAACTCTGTGACCTGAAATGTCATGGGATGGACAAAATAAAAAATAACAGAAGAGCTTTTGCTGTTCCTTTCATTCCGGTGATATAATTTACGGTAATACTCTTCTGTTGGTTTCAGGGTTTGATGTGTATTTTGGCAGGCATTTTAAACCCTGTCACTGTTTGCTTCTTGTACTGTTTTCAGAGTGTAAATGAATAAATATTTGACTCTGCTTATTCCTGTCCACTTTATTTGCTGAACCTTCAATTGCTTTCTCCTAATCATGACGTTCAGTTCTGAATGGACTGGTCTCCTAGCAACGTGCTGCATGTATCATGTGAAGGTCTCACTGTGCTCTGTGATGTTACCATAGCAATGGTCTTCATTTTGCTGGGGTGCTTTTGAACAGACCAGCAATTGTTTGATCTATGAAATATTGAAAAGATCAGTATTGTTTTCCTACTGTAGAATTCAATGTACACCACACATTCATGAGGGAAAGAACATTTAGAGAGAACTACTGAAAGATATGAACGCTAATAAATACTATTAAATAAATAATATAAATTCATTTATCAGTTAACTTATCAGTTTTTTAATTTAATGTTTTCCCACCAGGAAAATTTATTATTGTTGGTTGTTTTTGTAGTTGATGATGATGATGTTTTTGTAAATAATATAAATGGTTACTGTAATTAAATAGATCCATAACATTAAATTCCTATGAATAAATTAATTGGTTAACATTTTATTACAATCATTTATTTTTTTTATTTCCCAGGAATAATAATAATAATAATAATAGTTTTGTATGATATACAATTATTATAATAATAAAAAATACATTCATAAAATGCATGGGCCAGTAATACATTTGCCTTGTACTGTATGTTTAAATAGCCAGTGAGGGGGGAAAAAAGGTATTTTTACATTTTGAGCAGATAAGAGAAACTTCAGTCAAGACTGATAATACACACAACATTTAAAATGTAACTTCACCTTTGAATTCGTAGATTTAGAGAGTGGAAAGGAAGGGCAATTGTATTCCTTTATATATAATCAGTGTTGGCAGCGCTACTAAGTGCTACTAAGAAGCATAAAGAAAGTAGTGAGCAACAGAAGCACTTCAGAGACACTGTGTTCATTGTGGTTACTGGAAGGACTGGAAACTTTTCTTCCCTTTTTGTCCTTCTCATCTTCTTTCTGCTTCTCCATTAAGTTCTCAGAATGAACCAAGTACAACTCAACACACTTTCGAGCTTCCATCTGCTCAATGAGAGCTGGATAACCAATCTGTATGATACTCACGGTGTCATCATCATCCTCACGAATCGCAGCAGCCTTTGGATAATTATTGACAGTTGTAGGGGATGTGGTGTTATTCTTCTCCGGCCCACCTTTCTCTAAGTAGTCTATATTCATAGCTGCATAATCAGTCAGTGGCTCATCTCTTTGAATGTTCTTGTGATTTGCAGAATCTGTTGTGTCCTGCTCTTTTAGAAGATCCTTTCGCTTCATGCATGTGCTCATGTATTGCTCATATGACTGGGATGGTTGCTTTGATGTGTAGTTTGGTCCTACTTTGTTATTTCTTTCTGTAGAACGAATGCCCTGACGTTCGTACATATAGTGGTTGTATTGATGCTCCTCCTGAGGGCTACTGAATTGGAAGTTGGGGCGTGGAAAGTTTCCGATTCCATAGCCTACAGCCATTCCTGCCATTGCCCCAATGCCTGCAGCTAGCATAGCTTTTTTTGCGAAGCCTTTGGATTTAACAGAAGGACCATAGCCCATGCTTTTCACTGTATTGGAGAAAGGGGAGCCACCCATGTCAAACCCACCACCTCCAAATGAGCCTCCATAACGTGGACTAAGAATCTTATTGTTGGGGTTCCAGTTGGGATATCCCCCTCCAATGGAAGGGTGTCCTCCTGGGTATCCTACAGACTGCCCTGCAGTTCTTACTGGGTAAGATCCACCTGCTGGATACCCACCAGGGCTGTACCCACTTCTACCTGGATACTGGTTAGAGTAACCCCCTGCTCCAGGATTCTGGTTGGGATATCCTGCTGGGTTGGATCCCCCTCTTCCCGGATACTGATTGGGGTTGCCACCAGCCGAAGGATAGCTGCCGCCAGCTGGATAGGCACCTGCTCCAGGTTTCTGGTTGGGATATCCTGCTGGGTTGGATCCCCCTCTTCCCGGATACTGATTGGGGTTTCCACCAGCTGAAGGATAGCTGCCACCAGCAGGATAGCTACCTGCTCCAGGATTCTGGTTGGGATATCCTGCTGGGTTGGATCCCCCTCTTCCCGGATACTGATTGGGGTTTCCACCAGCCGAAGGATAGCTGCCACCAGCTGGATAGGCACCTGCTACAGGATTCTGGTTAGGATATCCTGCTGGGTTGGATCCCCCTCTTCCCGGATACTGATTGGGGTTTCCACCAGCCGAAGGATAGCTGCCACCAGCTGGATAGGCACCTGCTCCAGGATTCTGGTTGGGATATCCTGCTGGGTTGGATCCCCCTCTTCCCGGATATTGATTGGGGTTGCCACCAGCTGAAGGATAGCTGCCACCAGCAGGATTGCTACCTGCTCCAGGATTCTGGTTGGGATATCCTCCTGGGTTGGATTCCCCTCTTCCCGGATACTGATTGGTGTTACCACCAGCCGAAGGATGGCTGCCACCAGCTGGATAGGCACCTGCTCCAGGTTTCTGGTTGGGATATCCTGCTGGGTTGGATCCCCCTCTTCACTTTGTCAGGAAAAGCTTAGATTATGGAAGAACTTTGAACGGTGAGCTGCATGCCGGTTTTCTGGCTCACTGCTTCGTCTCCTGTTTCCCTCTTTTTCTCTACGTCTGCGAGCGAGGTCTTCTTCTAACACCTGAACATAAACATACAACAGTCGTCATGTGTTTTTCCCAATTAAAAAACTTTAAACCTCTCAGTTTTACTATTCACTCCGATACCTCTTTTCTACATGCAAGCTTATCTCTCCATTCGTTTAGTTCCAGGGTGTGTTCATCCTCCAGAGCTTTGATCTTTTTCTTCTCCATGTCCACAAGAATTTGGAGCTTCTCCCCCTCTTCCTGGATACTGATTGGTGTTGCCACCAGCCGAAGGATAGCTGCCAGCAGCTGGATAGCTACCTGCTCCCAGACTAGAGCTGCCTCTACCAGGATACTGCTGGTTAGGGTTGCCTGGGTTACTTCCTGCACCAGGATAAGAGGGTTGCCTGGGATAGTTAGGTTGGGTCTTGGTCCCTTGTGATGGCTTATCGGATGGCTTCTTGGAAGGGGTGTTCTTGCCCCCAAACCCTTTCTTTCCTCCTGATGACTTGTGTAGCACTGCCATCAGAACCAAAACGAACAGTACAAGTTTGCATAACTGTCCCATTTTGGTCCTAACAAATTGAAACGCACTGAGTTAGCATAAACTTGATATGCACACAATTCAGAGTTTAAGACTCAAGAAAAATGCTTACTGAAATGCAAAGGCAATTTTACATAGTACAAGACAAGAGCCTAATGGACACTATATACAAGAGAGAAAGAATGGTATTTTCTAACATTATAAATACTTGTGGAAGTTATTGCTAGAAAACAGATGCACTTTAGACATTTTAGCTGCATTTATAAGAGATCTAAAAGATACATCTTATTGTTTGGAAAAGAAAGTCATTAAAATGGAGTCAGTGTTTACCACAGCACTCATGGAGGACCCTTTTAGTGTTTAGGAATTGCACAGAGGTGAAACACAAGAGAGTAATGGACAGGAAAGCATAGAGTAATATGGCCCTACAGCACTTTCAACTTATATATTTGGTGTCCTTAATACACTTTAGGAGATTGTAACCCATGAAAATGACCTTGAAATGAAAGATACTAAAGCCTAAAGTAAGCATGCTCCTTATGATATTATCTATGGTGTTTCACTATACTTCAAGCATAAGTATTTCACTGAGAACAAAATCAACAAGTTACTGTACATAAAACATCTTGAAAATAAGTTAATGTATCCCACTTGCCATCCTTATGAAGTGACTGATGCTGTTGGAGATTAATGTCAGACAAAAGATTTCCCATAAGGCATACAGCTATAATCTCTTTTTCTGGCAACAGTAACAAAATAATACTTCTAAATGAATTCGCATGGCTGCTATTAGATGTTTGTAACACTCAAACTTGTAATATCAGCAATTTCATGTTAGGATGTTTTACTTCTGTTATTAACGTACATCTTAAGCATTTTTTCAAAAGTTTTCTTAACATTAAGACTTTAGGTAAAGACTTAAGATTTTGTCATTTTTAATAAAATGAAAGATAATTTAAAAGGCAATAAAACAGTATTCATAATTATATGAGCTTCAAGTTACATGATAAATGATTAAAATTTTTAGCAATCTATTTTATTGTTCAGTTGTTTTAAAGTCTTTTAAATCTTAGTATTTAGAATAAGGCAATGGGTCATACGTACATGTAAACCAGGATTTACCAGAATAACATTTTA